TTTTGTTTCTGTAATAGAATTTGTTGCATTAGGAATCTTCAGCTGATTCCTTTTTTGTTTCTGAATTTCATACAGAGTGTTCTGTATGTACAGTTTGGAGTAGCTTTCACTTGTTTTCATTCGTGAGCATATTTTCCCCTCTCTACATAATCAGTGGCACATGTGCACATTGATAAAGCATTGCTAAAAATCCATCTTGACCATATATCTGATTGTAATCATGTTCCTTTTGTGCAGTGTTTTACCGATGTACATGTTGGTTTATGTTGAGAAAACACTACAAGAAAGCAATTTTGCTCTTATAGTACGCATGGCAGTGATTTAAAAAGGTGTCAGGATTGCATCAGTAAACACCTCCCTCACCAAAAGGACATACATACCTACAATCACATCCAGTTCTCTTTTTGCATTGGTAGCATACTTCTGAAAGCATGGTTGCGATTTCTCCATGCCTCTACCCCAGACTGATCCAGCACCAGTAGTATTAGAACCAGTTCCCATAGGAAGGGTTATTTCTCATCCAACAACATCCCTTGAGAATAAATCCTATATGATCCAGCAGTTCTGATATTACCAAACTAGCGTGGCGTGAGAATGGCAGCTATACTGCTCCTTTAACTTAACAACCAGCCTTTAGTTCCATGGAAATAAATACTGCTTGCTTTCAAATAAAGGCATTTTAGAACTTACCAGTCACTAAGATGGAAAGGAAATAATTGGTTCTCAGTAGGCAAAATCGGGTAGGATTGACAATAGGCAATTTTCTATTTCCATTCATTGCAGTTAATATATGTAAGGAAAAGCATATAAAAAACTGGTAGCCCTTACAGGAGTGGTCTTTGTTTCATTTTTTTCCCTTGTTGCCCATATGGGAAAAGTGTGGTTTTCTTTCTTTTCTTGTTTTGCAAAAAAAAATCTAAATTAATCCAATGGAAAAGGTGGTGTATTTACAAAAGAGGGTGAATCAATTATTTTTGTGTTGTTGTGACCTTTCTTTAGGTTGCCCAGGACAAAGGAAACTGCTCTTTTCAGAAAAATCCAACCCCATGTGTCATTCCTCAAGAAAAGGAGAACATTTTCCACACAATATTTGCCTTTTTTACCAAATCTGGGAGGAAAGTATTGGTAAGAAACTAACTTCATTTTTGACTTCTAAAGAGTCAGTTGCCATATTCCAGAGCCTCATACATGCATGGGGTACCCACTACTCTTACAGCTAAAAGAGAGCACACTGAGTTAATGTCCATAACTGTCAGTAGAGAATCCTTGTCTTTATCCATTGATCTGATCTGCTATATCATTGCCCACAACCCAGAAAAGATTTGTTACAAAAGGAAGAAGATAGTTCACTGATGTGTTTGCCAAGTTGACATTCCGCTGTGTGAAAAATGGATGTAGAAAAACATAATTATGCCCATTTTTCATGCATTCTCACATGCAGCCTTAAGTTTAGGTTCTAGCACACGGGTAGGTAAACTAAGGCCCAGGGGCCGGATCTGGCCCAATCGCCTTCTAAATCCGGCCTGTGGATGGTCCAGGAATCAGTGTGTTTTTACATGAGTAGAATGTGTGCTTTTCTTTTTAAAATGCATCTCTGGGTTATTTGTGGGGCATAGGAATTTGTTCCTATTTTTTTCTTCCAAATATAGTCCGGCCCCCCACAATGTCTGAGGGACAGTGGACTGGCCCCCTACTGAAAAAGTTTGCTGACCCCTGTTCTAACACAATGCATACAGCCAGTAATTAGAGTAATATACTGTGATGAAGGAATACATGATCCTTGAAAGGAGGAACAGGTTTGTTCCCCCTTTGATAATCCACGGTTGAAATACCCTTTATCCAAAATATTTGAAATCCAGACCTGTATTATTGTTGTTACTATTTTAAGGTGCCTTTATTCATCTCATTGCTGTTAACTGAGTCACATTAGACATGCGCAGCTTGCACATAGTTGAGACAGATCATTTGAATTAGCAAAGGGATTCAGTCAAGTATAGAAATATAGCTTATTCTGTAGTTGCTCAAGACTGGTCCAGTTCCTAAGACAGGTTCAGTTACTGAGTATCTCCAGCTGATTTGCAAATAGTCATACTAGGAGCCATAGAAAACATTAAAGGTAAAGGTAAAGGGACCCCTGACCATTAGGTCCAGTCGTGGCCGACTCTGGGGTTGCGGCGCTCTTCTCACTTTATTGGCCGAGGGAGCCGGCGTACAGCTTCCGGGTCATGTGACCAGCATGACTAAGCCACTTCTGGCAAACCAGAGCAGCGCACGGAAACACTGTTTACCTTCCCGCCAGAGTGGTACCTATTTATCTACTTGCACTTTGACGTGCTTTCGAACTGCTGGATTGGCAGGAGCAGGGACCGAGCAACGGGAGCTCACCCCGTTGTGGGGATTTGAACTGCCGACCTTCTGATTGGCAAGTCTGGGCTCTGTGGTTTAACCCACAGCGCCACCCACGTCCCTTATAGAAAACATTAAGAGACGACAAAAGCATTATGGAGAAAGGCTTATCAAGGAAGAAGGAAATCAGCAATTGGTGGAACAATTGTAGAACATATTCTTTTCTATTGTCCACTGTACCACCAGCTATGTAAACACATGTTATCCCCCTTCTTTGGTAGTTATAATCAAGGCACAATGAAAATATCAGATTCTCTCTGTCTGATATTAACCCAGTTTCTGTCCATAGTATCTCTTAGAGTGGTGAATGGCACAGTTTAGCGGGAAGACACTCCAATGAAAATTTCTGTTACTATATATGGCTGTTTCTTTGTATATATTTCAAAAAATTTGTATAGGTCTAAGATGGTCTATATCTGTAGTTCCTAATAAAGGTTTGGAGAAAGAAAGGAAATCAGCAAATCAGGTGGAGGCCAGCTCTCCTTGGGACATCTGAGATTCATCACAGACATGGTGGGGAGTCGGCTATTAACACTTGTCAACAACCCAGTGAGATGGTACAATTGACATGTGAACAATCTTCTCACGGGGTTCCCATCAAATGGAATTAATTAAGGAGAAACACAATCTTGTGTAATGCGGGTGTTCTTCTGTAGTGGAATAGATAGCTTCTGGGCAAGGATAAGGTTTCCTAAAGGGACAGGAGTTAGCTCTTCTGTTACTTACAGCATTTAGAGAGAGAGTAATATTGATGGATATTTTTTAAGAGTAGAGATAGTATTTCAGTGGATGATGCAGCCTTAAGAGGCCATGAACCTTATAATGCAGGACTTCCATGACTGGATCTCTTCCTGATATCCTTTTCTTTTTCTTAAACAAGCCACGGGAACCCCATAATTTGAATTGTGGCCGTACTGCAGTAAGAAGAGCAGTTAACCGTTCCCCCTTGTGCTGATTCCCCAGTGCCTCTAGCAAAAAAATAAAGATGTCAAGAATCACAGATCTCCCAAATCACATATATTGCAACCCTTTGCAGTACCATCTTATGCATGTTTACTCAGAAGTCCCACTATGTGCATTGGGTTTGCTCCCAGGAAAGGGTCCATGGGGCCAGCGTTAGTATGATTTAAGATGACACACTACAACTTTTGGATTGTAGTGCTTGGATACCTGAGACTCAGATGCAAGCTGACTAGTTTCTTTACTGTTTGGGAACAGGCTCTAAACTGAATGATAAAGCTGTTCATTCAGCTGATCAGCCATCTCAGCTACTTTATTCAGTTAATTTATTCTAGGTAAAGGTAAAGGTACCCCTGACCATTAGGTCCAGGGGTTGTGCACTCATCTCACTCTATAGGCCGAGGGAGCCGGCGTTTGTCCGCAGACAGCTTCTGGGTCATGTGGCCAGCATGACAAAGCCGCTTCTGGCGAACCAGAGCAGCGCACGGAAATGCCGTTTACCTTCCCGCCGGAGCGGTACCTATTTATCTACTTGCACTTTGACGCGCTTTCGAACTGCTAGGTTGGCAGGAGCAGGGACCGAGCAACGGGAGCTCACCCCATCGCGGGGATTCGAACCGCCGACCTTCTGATCGGCAAGTCCTAGGCTCTGTGGTTTAACCCACAGCGCCACCCGCATCCCTTTTTTATTCTACAGTGCAGCAAAAGTACAGAAACAGCAGAAGCTGTCTTATACCAAATCAGATTATGGACTCGCCTAGCTCACAGTTATCAGCACTGACTGACAATGGCTCCCCAGTAAAATATACCTTTACCCACCCAGGGGTGCTGAAGATTGAAACTTCATTTATTTAAAGCGTTTTTATCCCACTCTTCAGCCAAGAAAGGATCCTAGATCCACAAGCATAAGTGATGCGGTGCTGAGCTAAAAAGTAGGCCCTTGTTTGTATGAATAGTTGTTGCATTACCTGGGATCTTTCATGGGAAGATCTGTACCAGATTGTCTATGACAGAGACAGAGAAGCCTTCCAGCCCAGCAGGCCAGATCCTGGCCTCCCCCACCCCTGGGGGCCAGTGTGACAGCCACTTGCTCCTACAATTCTCTAGGATACGTTTCTAGAGAAGTTGGACAGGAGTTACAAAACCAGGGCTGATGTTACCCATCCAGTCAGAAATGCCAAAGAGCATTTTTTTTAATTTTGCCACCTTTCCTTACTTCTCTCACAGCTTTCTACTTTTCTCCCTTAGGACTGTGAAAGACCAGGCAGGTCCTGCCTAATTATACGCTGCAACTTAAGCTCACTAGCTAAAGCAGAATCCCGCAGCATAGATGTGCATATGCTGTTGAATACTGAGATATTGAAAAAGGTGAGCATCGTTGCCTGAATTATACTCTTAAGGTGCCTGTACATGATCCGTCACACCATGGGAATTACGATGGAATTATCTGGAATGGTTTGATCAAACATAAGCAGAATGCGTTTTAAACTTGTACATCTTTTCATGCCTCCCATCGTCCGACTTCTGAACGCTGGCTGTGAACGGGATGGGAAGTTGATAAAGCAAAAGGAAAAAAAATACATTATGTACAGTGGTACCTCGAGTTAAGTACTTAACTCGTTCCGGAGGTCCGTACTTAACCTGAAACTGTTCTTAACCTGAAGCACCACTTTAGCTAATGGGGCCTCCCACTGCTGCCATGCCGCCCCACGTGATTTCTGTTCTCATCCTGAAGCAAAGTTCTTAACCTGAAGCACTATTTCTGGGTTAGTGGAGTCTGTAACCTGAAGCGTATGTAACCTGAAGCGTATGTAACCCAGGGTACCACTGTATTGGAATTATA